AACAACCAGGTACGCTTTTACTTCTGACAGTATTGCTAGAATTGCTCCACTGTTTGGAGAGTCATAACTTGTAGTTTAAAATATTTGATATACAAGCTACAAATCAGTCTTTCTCTTGGCATAACCAACCTACTCTCTTACCATAATCAGTTATTTTTACTTACAGTTACAAATTTGTTAACCTTCAGTATTTAGATTCTTAAATCATAAAATTTAAGAAATATGAATTAAGTGATATCCAAAAGCAGAAATAGTGAAGACTTAAAGTAACAAAATTGAATTACTGGATCAGTTTTCTGGTGGATTGAGTAGGCCATAGTAGGAAGTAATTAGACTTAACGATCCCATATCTTGTATCACTTCTTGAGTTTTCTCTGTGTATAATTGTTATTGTTATTATACATACTATTCAAAAGTTATTGTCCATAAATAGAAAGGGTCTCCTATACTATAAAATAGCTTTACTAAGTAAGATCATAAATGAGGAGAGAACAGAGAGTACTCAGTCCCTCCAAAGTTTTCACCTGAAAAAGAGTGTGCTTATGGGGAGTCACAATTTTATACTTTAGGAGTTGGAGATACAGATTAGTGGTAGGGCATTAGGCAAGCATGAGGCCTGAGTTCAGTCCCCAGCACTGGTGCACACACTTCAAAGCAGATTTCAGTCAGTTAATGGATATTAAGGATTAAACCTGCTCTGCTGATTTACACCAGTTTTTGACTAAGCACCGTCAAAACAAATAATAAATTTTTTTAAAAATCAAAAAAAATTCCAGAAACATTTTAAATTTCTGTTCATGCATTATGCATCTCAGATGATCTAGAGAAGAATGAAAAGTTGAGATTTGTTGAAAGGCATCATGTCTTTATCAGAAGTTGGGCAGTATTATGAGAGAAATGAATAAAGCACTCACAGTACAGATTGAATCCTGCATCCCAAGCATTTGTAATTTTTCTCCCCTTCAGCAGTGGTATTTGGAACCATACTCACAGATACCAAGGGTCTATGGTATAATTGTTTGGAGTTGCAGGATGTGTGTGTGTTTGTGTGAACTGATAAGCTGTTGAGGTATATGTTCATTTATTTAATCTTTTGTGGTGAGAAGGTAAAAAAGAGGGGGAAGGTATTGGGCTTTAGCTTAAAGAAATATAACTGGTAGACTAAGATGACATAATGATGAAGTGGAAAAGGTCTTGAGATATCCCCTGATTCTTTTTTGGGTCAATTAAAATAAATGGAGTGGCAAAATAAAGAAAATTTGGTAGGGTTGATTCGGGGTTGAAGTTTGATAAGTCAGGATGATGAAGATAATTTTGAAGTGACTGATTCTGGAATTATAGTTCAACAGTTTGAGCTTACTTCTCATGTTGGTTATGAAGGTTTCCAGATACTGGAAGGCTCTATTTGCAACCATTTTTCTTCCCCACAAAGATACAGATGATTATTTGCATGACCTTAGCTTCATATTAGCTGAAATTCTAGTTGCTTTGGCTTGTATGTAAAGGTGAGAAACAGCAAAGTTGGATCGTGTGTATTCATGCCTTAGGACTTGGAATTTTTATTTTGTGCCTAAAGTACTGTAGCTTCCCTAAACCAGTCTCTTTCAATTTTATTCAAAGTTGTACAATCTTGGAAAAATTAGCCTGTGGTAACCATCGAATTTGTTATTTTAAAAAGAGTCAGTGGATATCAAAGTTATAAAAACTTGTGATACTAATTTTTCCTGCCATCTGAATTTTCAGGCAATAGAAAAATGCTTACTCTTTTTCCTTTTTTTTTTTTTTTTTTTTTTTTTGGGTACTGAGGCTTGAATGCAGGACCCTATACCTTGATAATACCTTGAGCCACCATTTTTTTTTTTTTTTTTTTTTTTTTTTTGTGATGGGTCTTTTTTCGAGATAGGGTCTCATGAACTGTTTACTGGGGCTGGCTTAAAACGGAGATCCTCCTGATCTCTGCTTCCTGAGTAGTTAGGATTACTAACTACTAAGTTACTTAGTTAGTAATCCTAACTAAGGATGCCTGCCCACTTTCATTATCAATGAGGTAGGCAGTAAAAGGATATTTTAATTTTAATTCTTTATCTTTTAGCTCTGTAATGTTTCCATGTAAATCCATGTGTTTTTCTGATTTGGAGGAATATTAATATTTATTAGTGATCTGATGATAATGGTATTGGAAGATCATAGAATTGGGAGAATTATGGCCCACATAGCTTTCCAAACTAGTTTGCCAAGTTAAAGCATTGCACAGAAGCATCAAGCCTGCTACCCACCATCTTTTTCACTTTCACAGGTAATGAAGAAGTATTGAGAAGTATTGATATAGTTCAGTAAAAGAACTTGTATGCCTTAAATATTTCTAGATTAGGACTTTCTATTTGAGAGTAGATAGTCAGAATTCAGGCATTATACAAAGACAACAGTCTTTTTTTCATTCAAAACTTCGGGTACTTGAGACAGGTTCTTTTTTTTTATTCATATGTGCATACAAGGCTTGGTTCATTTCTCCCCTCTGCCCCCACCCCCTCCCTTACCACCCACTCCGCCCCTTCCCTCCCCCCCCCAATACCCAGCAGAAACTATTTTGACCTTATTTCTAATTTTGTTGTAGAGAGAGTATAAGCAATAATAGGAAGGAACAAGTATTTTTGCTGGTTGAGATAAGGATAGCTATACAGGGAGTTGACTCACATTGATTTCCTGTGCATGGGTGTTGCCTTCTAGGTTAATTCTTTTTGATCTAACCTTTTCTCTAGTACCTGTTCCCCTTTTCCTATTGTCCTCAGTTGCTTTTAAGGTATCTGCTTTAGTTTCTCTGCGTTAAGGGCAACAAATGCTAGCTAGTTTTTTAGGTGTCTTACCTATCCTCATCCCTTCCTTGTGTGCTCTCGCTTTTATCATGTGCTCATAGTCCAATTCCCTTCTTGTGTTTGCCCTTGATTTAATGATGAGACAGGTTCTTTAGTAGAAGTAGCATTTCAGAGGTTGGCACACCTAAGGAAGAGAGTGGTGAGAAGGGCAGCTTATTTGCGAGTTCTTGTCATAATTCCCCAAACTCTCTTGCCATTATCTGATTGGCATTCAGGTCAGTTTGACTGGCTGAGATGTTAGTGCCTCTGCCCCCTAACATAATGGGAACTTCAAAATTAGATTTATAGGTAGCCTGTTCTTAACTCTGCATGAGTTAAAGAAACAATTGTTTGACCACTTTACTTGAGTTTACCAATGAGGTGGTAGTTCTTCAGTTTCATAGACAAAACTTAACCTGCTTAGACTCCTGCCAGCAGTATACAATGGATTTCTTATTAACCTGTATTACATTAGATTTTCTTTTTTTATTTTTGCTTGTCTGGTGACCAAGAAATTCCACCCTGTTCTAGTTTGTATGTTTTGATTACTAGAAAAGCTAGCTGTGTGTTCATTTTTAGCTTTTCATATTTCTGAAAACTGTGTTCTGTATCCTTTGCTCATTTTTTGTCATTAGGTTGTCCTTACTACTTGTATTGATTTGTGCAGCTCTTTAGTGTCTTAATTCACTAAATTTTCTATTGAAAGTATTTCCTCAGAAATGCGCTTGTCGATCAGCTTTATTTGTGTTTTATATCAAAATTTTTCAAGTCATGTCTCATAGTTGTCTACATTTTAGGTCCTTCTTAAGAAGATCTTCAATAATTATATTCTTCCATAATATTCTGATGTTTAGTTCTTTCTAGTAGTAGAATTTAGAATGTTTCTGAATATTAAGTAGGTGCTTTACCACTGAGTCAACCTCTCCTTCAGCCCCCTAACATTTAGATCTTTAATGCATGCAGAATTTACTTTTATAGATGGCACCATAAAATACCAACATTGTCACAGAGAAAAAATACATTGTGTGTGTGTGTGTGTGTGTACTACCACCATGTACTCCCAACCAAGGTACATGTTTTAGAACGTGACATAACAAGCCCACCTCACCCCACTCCCCTTTTCTCAAATGGCTTTTTTTTTTTCCTTTTGGTGGGAGGAGAATGCTACTGGGGGTTTGAACTCAAGGCCTCATTCATACTAGGCAAGTGCTCTATTACTTGAACTATCACCCAGCTCAAATGGCCTTTTGGTGGGGGAGGTGATTTTTTTATGTATTATGTTTTTGTTTTTTTGAGATGGGGTCGCCCATACTGCTCTTGAACTCAGTCTCTCTTGCTCCCTCCTTTCCTCCCTCCCTTGGCTTAGCTTCATGAGTGATGGAATTACAGGTGTGGTTATAGGAGTAAGTCACCACTCCCACGGTTTTTCTTTTTTGATGACCTGAGTCTGTTAAGGTCAAGAATTTTTGAAATTGTTGGGCGTTTTTATTGTGTTTTCGTCAAATTAGTGGACTAATACTGGGGCTAACTCAAATAGTTTGGACTTCTATCTGTTCTTTCTTTCTTCTTTTTTTTTTTAAGGCGTCTAGAAATATATCTAGGGACTTGAAGTTTCACTTGACGTTCTTTTTTTATTTTTAATAATGGTGCTGAATGGGGGCACATTGTAGCATTTATAAAGTTTCTTACAGTGTATAACATCATGTGAATTTACCTCTTGAGGTTCTTTTCTGATGTGGAAGAAAACTGAGCTAGAATGAAAACTTGCTTTGAAGTACTGTGTGATACAAAATATTATACTTTATTTAACTAATATCTTTGAGTTTTTGTTTTGAAAAGTAATATAGTTCTTGAACTCTTTCAAAAAGGTATGATTGTTTCCATAGTAGAGAAGATAAAGGACCAACAATGGAGTCCATCTCATATATAATGTTACCAGTTACCAAATACCTTGAAAATAAATGCAAAATGTTCTTCTTAGTCATTTAAAATTCTTGGAAATAAATAACTAAAGATACATTTAGTGGTTTTTTTGTTTGTTTTGGGGGGTACTGGGTTTTCTACTCGGCCTTATGCACCAAGTAAGCCACACTTCAGCTGTATTTAAATTTTATAAATGTATTTATACATATTTATAATTTGTTTCAGTCGTCACTGAATTTTGAAAAGCATTCTGAAAATTTTTCATGGACAGAAAATCGTTATGATGTGAACCGTCGACGACACAACTCTTCAGATGGCTTTGATTCTGGTATCGGACGTTCTAATGGAGGTAAAATTTGCTAAGGAATGATAGCTTTTTTGTACTCTTCCAAGGATGTTTTGATTGCTACTCAATCTTTGGACAAACCTGTCTTTGAATTTGTATTACTTTACTATTATCAAATAAAGGTACCTTTGGGAGAAAAGAAAAAAATGGATGGCGTTCACATGGCAGAAGTGGCACTGAAAACATAAATCACCGAGGGGGATACCATGGTGGAAATTCCCGTTCTCGTAACAGTATTTTCCAATCTGGAAAAAGCCAAGGACTACATGAAAACAACATACCTGACAGTGAAATTGGGAGGAAGGAAGACAAAAGAGAACGAAAGCAGTTTGAGGCCGAGGATTTTGTAAGTTTCTTATAATTTTAATACAAATGTTTCTGCAGGTACGATTTTGTTGTCAAGGCACTGTTAGGAAGTTTTATTAGCTACTACAAGTGATTTTCTGCACTCAACAGGTATTTCTCCAAGTGTGTTGTAAGGCTTATGCTTCTAAGGGGTCTTCTCTCCTCGATTCCAGGGTCTTGCTGTGTGTCTTTTCAGAATTTTTGGTCTATTTGTGTCAAGTTTTATTCCTTAAGGAAAATTCTAAGTTTCTTTTAGAAGTGTAACTGAGCTTGTAGCCTTATTTGCGAATGCATCATAATATTATACTTAAAAAAGTGATTAAGCTTTTAGAAAAAGTAGTTACCTGTAAGCCATTTACCAATACATTTTATTGATTGGGAAGTCTTGCTGTGTTGCCCAGGTTGATCTCTGATTCATGAATTCATGTAATCTTCCTGCCTCTGCCTTCCCAGTAGCTAAGACTACAGGTATGCAACATCATGCCTTGACTCCAAAACATTTTATTTAGATTGTCTGTAATTTTTTATTTTGCAGATCGAACCAGGACCTCACCCAGGCTAGGCAAGCAGAGTTCTATAGAGCTATATCCCCAGCCTTAGATTGTTACTTTTAAATAACATTTGATTATTCATGACTCTTAAACTAATCCCAGGATAGTTCACAGCTGTTTCTCTGTTCAAAAGTTTCTTTTTGGTCAGGGAAACTGATTATTATTCTAAGTCACGCCTATAATCCTAGCTACTCAGAAGGCAGAAAATCAGGAGGTTCAACAGTCGAAGCCAGCCCAGGCAAATAGTTCAAGAGGCCCTATCTCAAAAAATCCTCCTTGGACTGGAGGCATGGCTCAAGTGGTAAAGCACCTGCTTTGCAAGCATGTCGACCTGAGTTCAAACCCCAGTTCCACCAAAACAAAAATAATCCTCCACAAAAATAAGACTGGTGAAGGCTCTGAGTTCAAGCCCCAGTACTGCAAAAAAAAAAAAAAAAAAAAAAAAAAAAAGTTAACTAAGCTGGCATCTGTGGCTCACGTCTGTAATCCTAGCTACTCAGGCAGAGATCAGAAGGATTGCATTTCGAAGCCAGCCTAGGCAAATAGTTCATGAGACCCTATCTTGAAAAAACCCTTCATCAAAAAGGGCTGGTAGAGTGGCTCAAGGTGTAGGCCCTGGGATTAAAAAAAAAAAAAAAAGTTACTCTGGAGCTGAGGGTATGGCTCAAGTGGTAGAGTGCCTGCCTAGCAAATCTGAGACTGTGAGTTCGAACCCCAGTACTGTAAAAAACAAAACAACCACCACCACAACAAAAAATAATGTTAACTCTGCTATTGAAAATAAGCATGAGTTAAGAAAAGACAAAATTTTAATAATTTTTCTTATTCAATCTCAGTAAATAGCTTATCTAAGCACCACTTCTTAAGTTATAGAAAAATTGATGTGGTGTACAATCTCATTTATCTAGTTCTTGTGATTCATTCTTGAAATGTAAAAGTCTCATTTACTGTAATTCTTTTTTATGTACTCATGAGTGGATGTATGAGTCAGATGCTGTTCTTGGTATACAGAATACATAGGTGATATGATAGGCAAAATCTCTGCTCTCATTGAATTTCTGTTCTTGTGGCAGCATTCAGAACATGAAATGAAAAAGTAATTCATGTTTTCCAAAAATTTAAACAGGAAGTGACTGGGTGGCTCTTTTAGTTTGGGAAGTCAAGTGAGACTTCTCTAAGGAAATAGCATTTAATCTGGGATTTATTCAATAAGGAAAGGAACACACTTTCTTAAAACTGAGAAAGGAGTTGGAGGTGTAGCTCAGTCACATGTGCTTAGTATTAGAATGAAAAAGGCTCAAGCATAGGGTTTATTATGAAGAGAAGCCCCGTGGAGGGGAGTTTTCAGGCAAAACCAGAATCCCCCTGCTGTTTACAGACTTGGAGTAGATCAGAGGGTGGGTAGAAGAGTCCCAGGAAGGACACTGGGTGGGAAAATCCTCAGTGGCCCTTCGACCCTCTGGAGATAATGACGTAAGGGCACATCATTTCTTCTGGGTCAGGTGGGGGAGTTTCTAGTAAATGGCTAAGGATGGATGTCTATTTTTCTTTAGGCCCGGGTGGAGAATTTCTAGTAAGTCACCTTCAAGGGGGAGGGGGTCCAGTTCTAACATGGCAAGTAGGAGTTCTAACAGCAGGTAGGAGTGTAAGCATTGTTTCCAACCCTAAACACTGCTGGCAGCTGGTGGGGAAAGTAGCACTGGATATTTTGGGGAGTGGGGGCATGAAAAGCAGAAGTGTTTAATCCAACCAGCTGTTGATATGGGTATAGGGAAACTGATGATTTGAAGAGGGATGGAGTGGATGGTAAGGGTTTGGTTGCAGAGCCTGCCAGGGACTATGCTGACTGGGTGGTAGGCAAGGCTAGGGTCAGAAAAATCTCTGAGACATGGAGGTGCCTGGAGGGTCAGCATTGTTGGGGTGGAAATGGGCCCTCTAATCCTAGCATGGGATGGAGGCGAGGAGTGGTTTAGATTGGTTGAGCATTTTTGGAAATGTTAAGTTCTTTGTATATGGAGTGGAAAAGAGTAATAGCATGGTGTTAATGATAACAGAGATACCTATTGGGGAGAGGATGTGGGTTTAAGTAGGTGAGGGACCAAGGACCTACAAATGAAGCTTTTGAGTATAATTTTGTAGCAGGGAGGAGGACCATAAGAGAAACACAAAGGCCTGTGTTCTGATGAAGTAGCAGTGGGGAATGGATGGCATAGCAGAGAAATAAAACCTAAAGAATCCAAATGTGAAGAGGGTCGTATAGCACTGGGGGTAAAAGGGCACTCAGTACGGTGAAGTAGCCTATAAAACTGCCTATAACCATACATGGGTTAAACCTTGTTTTTCTTGCCTCTGTAACCTGCTTGCAAGGGTATGTAAGGTAAGACAGCCTTTGGACACGAGTTTGTTGAGTCTGTGCTGGCACAATAAAACATTGCTTCCTTGCCTCAGTGTACCATGTCTCTCTTTGAGTTTCCCATAGCAGTTTGGAGTGTCATGGAGGAACTGAACCATTGCTCAAGGTTAGTGGGAAGAACAGTGGAGTGCTAGGTTTGTGTGGCGATGCAGATCCAGCAGTCAGAAGATAAAGAGGAATTGTATTTTATCAGCAACCTTTGTGTGAGATTGAAAAGCAGGTCCCTCCTGGTGAGAGGGAATGAAAGCATTAAGCTGAAGGAAATCTGGGTTGGGGAAAACTCTTGAAAGGTTCCCTGGAGCCTTGGTTCCTATATGAGAGAGGTAGGCCTGAGAGGGCTAGTGTGGGGTAGGGGAAGAGATACAGCAAAAATCCTCTACAAGATTATATAGAAACTACTCAGACCAGGTTAGGGTTAAAGACATGGGTGGGTTAGGATGTCTCAGTGATCCTGGTCAGGCTGAGTGAGGTGAGTCCTGTAAGGAGAGAGAAATATTTCGGTGTGGGGGGCTGTGGGGGTGGCTTGGGAGCCTCCATCCAGTTATCCAGAGGCTGACCGGGGTGTACTTTTAATTAGGTGTAGTGGACCCAATGTGGTAGCCCCTTGACTTGGGCTGTGGTGGGCATAGTTAAAATTACCTGATGTAGCTCATGCTATTTAGGTTTTAGTGGTGGTGTATCAGCGATCCAGACCCAATCCCTCGCCTGTATGGTGGGAGACAGAGCTGTGAGGTCAGAGGAGGGTTTAGAAATATGGATGTCTGCATATTGTCTCAGTTGTTGTAGGGAAAAATGGAGAGAGTGGGCCACTTGTCCTCTAGGGAAAGAAGTGGAGGAGTGGGGTATGTGGTGAAGGGTGAAAGGACATGCATAGAGTAGTTTAAAGGAACTGAGATCTGTGGGCTTTCTATGAAGGAGTCTAAGGTGGATGAGAACTATAGGGAAGAGGGAGGGCCAGACAAGCTTAAGTTGGAGAGACAGTTTGGTTACTGCTGTTTTAGAAGGGCATTGACCCTTTCTACCTTACCAGAAGATTGGGGCCTGTATGGGATGTGGAGTGTCCACTTAATGCCCAGCACCTGAGATAGTTGCTGGGTGATAGCTGAGATGAAGGCGGGGTCATTGTCTGACTGCAGGGTTGAGGGTGGCCCAAATCAGTGCATGTTATGGGTTAAGAGGGCCTTAGTAACCTGTTTTGCCTTCTCTGTAGAAGTGGGAAATGCCTCAGTCCACCCTGTGAAGGGATCTACCATGGTGAGGAGGTATTTTTGCTGGTTGGCTGGGGACATGTGAGTAAAATCAATCTGCCAATCTTGTCCTGGCACACTGCCTTGCTCTTGTTGTGTGGGGAAGGGTAGGGGCCTGATACTTCCTTGAGGGGACACCTGGGAGCAAATGAGGCAACAAGACTGAGTAGTGGCTAGAGAGGGGGAGGTTGGTGAGCTTGTAACAGATACACAGGGCCTTATATCCTGAGTGAGAGAGATTATGGAGATATGAAAGAATGAGTTATTTCTAGAGCCCAGGGAATGACTACCTTGTGGTCAAGAAAGAACCAGTTGTCGGTTTGGGTACCTTCTGCTTGGGTGAGAGCTGTGTGTTCAGGTGTTGTGTAGTTGGGGTAGAGGTGGGAAAGATGAGGGTAAGGGGTAATCCTTCTGTCAGGTAATAAAGCACACTGGACGCAGTCTTAGCTGCTACATCTGCCCGAGAGTTACTGAAAGAGATGAAATCTGTGGGTCTCTGGTGGCCTTTACAATGGATGGTGGCTACTTGCCTAGGTAATTTGAGAGCCTCTAGTAATTGTTGGATCTGGGGACTATTAATCATGGGGGTTCTCTTGTTTGTAAGGAAGCCCCTCTCCTGCTAAATGAGGGCATGGGTATGAATGGTGTGATAGGCATAGTTTGAGTTTGTGTATAAGTTGATCACTTTGTCTTCAGCTAGAGTTAATGCCCTTGTAAGGGCGGTCAGTTCTGCCTACTGGGATGTGGTGTGTGTGGGAAGCGGCTTTGGTAATGTGGGATCTATAATGGCATATCTTGCTGCTGGATGAGAGTCTTTAAAGGAGCTGCCCTCTATAAACGAGAGGTGGGCATATGTAGGAAGATGGGATTCTATGAAGTCTAGGCATGAGTAGGTGGGTGGTGGGACCTCTTCCTCAGTTGTGGGGTTTGGGAGAAGGGAGGCTGGGTTGAGGGCCGAGCAACACTGAAAGGACATCAAGGTGACTTGGGATGAAGAGTGCAAGGAGCTGTTGTTAGGGGTAGGGGGAAAAGTTAAGAGAGTCCGATGGCTAGTGAGATCCTGGAGGTTGCGGGTGGATAGGATGGTTATATGTTGGTTTAATGTAAAATTTTTGCCTCAGATGTTAAGAGGGCTGTTGCCTCCAGGGTCTTTGGGCATAGGGACCAATACTTGTATGACTGAGTCTAATTGTTTTGATAGATGTAGGTTGGGGTGTAGCCATAATCCTGAGACAGGAGGCTTAGAGCAGTGTTTTGGTTTGTGTGTTAGGTATAAATCAAAAGGCTGGGAGTAGTCAGGGAGTCCTAGTACTGGAGTCCTCAGCAAAGCTTCCTTGAGTTTGGTAAAGTGGGCCTTAATTGGCTTAGAAGGGTCTCGGGGCTCCTCGAGGGCACCATGTGATGCTGTTATAGGGTCTTGGCAAGGAGGAATCCAGAGACAAAAATAGCCAGCCCAGATCCTGACGGGACAAAAGGTACCTTTTTGTGTTGGGGCATGGTAAGTCTATGATTATTTGTTTACAGGACTTTGTGTGATGGCCCTAAAGTGAGGGGTAATGGGGGAGACCCAGGTAATTGACTTGTGAGGCTGATATTTGGGCCTTGGAGGGGGTGACTATATTAATTCCTTTCTATGTAAGAAATTAAGGAATTGGAGGGACAGGTCCAAGGAAGGGCTACAGAGGAATAGATCATCTATACACTGTAAGTATATATATGCTTGGAGAGAGAAAGAGAGACATGAATCACTGACCAAGGCCCGGCCAGGTGGGAGCTGTCTTGAAAGCCCTGAGGAGAGACTACCCAGGTTATCTAGGTGGAAGTGTGGGTGTCAGAGTCTGTCCATATGAAGGCAAACGGATCCTAGCTAGAGAGATCTAGAGGGATGGTGAAGAAATTAGACCTGTGCCCTTCCCCCTTGAAGGTTATTTAACTGGAAACTCTAACCTGCCCTAAAGAAAAATAAACATCCACCTTTATCATTTTACTAGAAACACCCTACCTGGCCTGGAAGGAATGACCCACACTTAAGCCACTGAGGATTTTCCCACCCAGTGACCTTCTTGGACTCCTCCACCCATGTTCTGTATCTTCTCCAAGTCTGTAAGCAGCAGTAGGATTCTGGCTTTAGCTGGAAACACCCTTCTGCTGGGCTTCTCTTTCACAATAAAACCTTTGCTGGTGTTTGAGCTGTCTTGCCGCCTATCCATTCTGAGCCTCTTTCATTCTAACACTTAGCATGTTTGAGGCCCTGGTTTTAATCCCCGGAACCACAGAAAATAAAAATACTGGGAGGATAAAGGGATAAGCTTGTGCAAAAGATTTTAGTTTTTTTTTTTAAAAACTATTCCAGATCTTAAATGGGTTATAGTGGTAGAAGAAAGACAAGGTAGAAAGCAGAGGCTGTAGTTTAGGAGAAAATGATGGGTTGAATTGGGTGCCCGAGAGAAGTGAAGACATGATTTTGGTATAATTTGGAAGTAGTTTAGATGGAGGGTTTGAGTAAGGGAAAGAATTTGATGAATTGGATTTAGGGCAGGGGAATGATTAGAGAAAGACAAGAATGAACACTTGAGATCCTATTATCAAGGCCTTTTGAATTTCTATACCTTACCATTTGAGTGGGCTTTTAATCTGCTTGATAGGTAGCCCTAAATTGATTTTTTATAATAAAACTGGGAATAAAGTACTTCCCTTTCATAGGGAAATGAGGGTTGAGTAACAAAGATGAATTACTTAAAACAGTGTATGCCAGATAATAACCACTTAATAAAAATTAGTTTCTGCTATTATCCTTCACCTCCCACCCTCAAGATGGTGGTAAGCAAGTATATAGGGTAGAATGTAATTTCCAATAGTAAATTTAATAGTATACTGTAATTAAGAAATACATGTATAGCCACCAACAAAATCTTAACCCTATTTAGTTTGTATATGAAGGAATGAATCATACTGGTATGCGTGTATAGTTTTTTGGGACTTTGCAGTAATATCATTATAGTGCTAATGATAATTCACTTTTATGAGTGATTAAAGCATATTTTTTCTTTGTTTTAATCCCTCCTCCCCCCAAACTGGGGTTTGAACTCAGGAACTTTGCCACTTGAGCCATGTTTCTTTTTGTTAATTTTTTGAGACAGTCTGTGTAGCTCAGGCTGGCTTTGAATTTGCAGTCCTCCTGCCTCATCCTCCATCTGGCAGAGTATTCATGTTTGGATTCATTTCATTCAATGTTTTATTGAATGCCTGCCTCTTCAAATTAGGCAGGCTATGTTGCCAGGTAGTATGAAAAATACCCGATACAATACTGGAAATCCTAGGAGTCTAAAGAATAAAGATCTACAAAGGTAAGCTTTAGGTACCCATCACTGCTCATCTCTCTTTTTAATAGTTGAAATAAAAAATGTTTGGAGGAGTGTGCTAACTGAAGCAGTGTAATGATTAAAACCTAATAGAATTAGAAAATGGTCTATTTTTCCTCTACTATGATTGTGACTTTATGCTAAGGAAAGGTTTATACCTTGAGCTAGATTTTGTTGTTATCTTACCCAGACATTCCTAGATTATAGCTGTTGTCCAACTTTAGCCTCCCAAATAGTCGAAGTAGGGCTCAGGCTGGAGCCTTAGTTTTTGTTGTTACACACCCCCCCTCCCCTTTTATTTTAATTTTTCCTGGATGAGAGAAAAGATTGATGAATGAGAATAAAGATTCTTTTGTCTTCACTAGCAGTGAGTATAGACAGTAAAAGCATTTTGATGGTTAGCAGCATATGCTGAAAGTTAAGGTTTTTGAGTAATCATTAATAGATAAAGAGTTGGTCATATCAGGTTCCTCAGTTACAGGATATATAATTGTGTGATAGCTTTTAAAGGATTTATTTTTTTAAAGTGAGACATTTAAAATTTTTTTTTACATTTTTTAAATTCTAACTTTCTTCTAGCCATCTCTAAATCCTGAATATGAGAGAGAACCAAATCAGAATAAATCTTTAGCTGCAGGTGTATGGGGTAAGTGATTTTTGATCTATCTTTGAGGGGCACAAGAATGTTTATCTGTAGGTTTTCTTTGTTTTAAATATAAAACAAGCTAGGTTAAAGCTTAAATACTTTTTTGGTGTGCTAAGCTACAAAAAGGTAACACTTTTAAAAGATTGGGGGTAGAAGAAGAGTTTGATTTGAAATAATTGATTTGCACCTGTTAGTACCATTAAGTATACTCAATTTGATTGGATTATTCTTGAAATGACTGTAAGTTAATGTAAGCTTGAGTAGCCTGATAATCTAACAAAACAAAAAATGTTAGTTTGAATTTTTAGTTTTTCATAGCTGAAACTCTACATAACTGGAAAGATAAGTACTTCTCATGATAGTGTGACATGAAATTAATCTTTTAAACTATGAATATGGTTATATTGATCATTAAAATAATTGCATTGATTTGCCTATGGCTAGTCTATATTTGAAATTATTTGCCTTTGATTTTCTAAGTTTAATGAGTTTCTGGTAATAATTCCCTTTTCTTTAAAAATGTGGAGAGTTTAATTTTGATAAATCTTATGGAAGATTAAACTGCACTCAGTACAAGTTAGACAGCTTTTAGAAGATTCAAGTGAAGTTTAAAATAATGAAAAATTTTATAATAAAGTTTTATAAGATTTGACATCTGAAAATATTTAATTATTTGCTACCAAATTCAAAGTGCTGTGTCCACTTTGAAACTTGTACACATGCTCTTCTGTTGTTTTTAATTGAAAATAACTTTCTAAAACAAGGATTGTGGCTTGTGATAGCATTCAAGTCCTAACAATAAAGGCATTATTTTAAACTTTGCCACTTCCTGTGCTAATCTTAATTGTATTTATGAGCTGAAACTCTGGGGAATTATTTTCTTTCTTTTGATCTCCCTCTTTATTTAAGGGCTTTTTGAGGGTGGGGGTGGGGGCGGTCAGACACTTTTGTTAGAACCATGTGAATGGCATTGTTTTTTCTGTATTGCAAATTAGTATTTCTACCACTCTCCCCAGGCCTACACGCCCAGACACACACATACCCAACCAAAAAAATCTCCCAAGCTCCTCTCTTAGGTATGTTTCCTTATTATTCAGTTTTTCTGGGAACAGCTAATTGCATAAGAATATAGAACCACCTGGAGGGTATTAAATAGAATCTCTAAGAAATTAGGAATAATTTCTATTTTATTAGAATGAAAGTAAAATAAAAAAATCACGAATGTCAGTGAGCATTTGTCATATAAAACTACCTATAGATATTATTGGTACTAATCCTTGGTTGGCTTAATAATCTTAGAAATGATTTAAAGACAAAGACATTTTGGAAAATTATGAGATTAGAATGTAATAAAGATTTTGGTTCTGCTGTTTGAGGGTTGATCTAAGGATTTTGACTACTAGTTGAAAAGATGTTTAAATGGAAGGTGTTCTCTTTATGTGCTTAGGTTAACTAAGAAATGTGATTGCATTTAAAGAAAGGAAAATGGTTAATTGTGTCATGGTTAATTGTTAAATTCCCAGTACTTCCCATAAGAATACAATGAAACTCTCATTGTATCACACTTCACTATTCCTCTCTCACTTATTTCCCCTGGGTTCCCAAGTATTGTTTTCCTCATTGCAACATTTAGAATAGCTATGTTCCTGAGGAAGACGAGAGAATTTTAGGAAAGACTTCAGTAGAACTTTTCTAGTGCTACTTCCTTCCAGGTAAGTAAAAATTTACTAATGAAAATGTAATATGTATAAAAAGAAAAACGACTTTGTTCCTGAAACTATGACACTGTAGATCAAAAATTGGCAATTCTTTACATAGTACCCCAATTTTTAAAAGAAACTTTAGGGAAAGTAATTAAACCATTCAAAATAAAGTTACCTAAGTTTAATTCAACTTAGAACCTAGTTGGTTTTATTGGAAACATCTTCATCCATTTTATACTTGTGACTTATATAGTGTTTCTGTCTTAACCAAGATCACACGTATTTGGAGCTTGAGAGTAGTAATTATTAAATAATCATTCTCTGTGTTGTTAATAATTAAAGGCCAAAGCAGGAATTCAGGGTACTTTAGTTTTGTCAGTGAGAATTTTTAAATGATACGGCATTCAGTTACTTGGGGGGTGAGGAAGAGAGTGATGTATGTTTACGTACATGCAATTTGAGATGTAATTAGTGGCTATTGACTTTGAGTTTGTTGTTGATTTTCTGGTTTTTGTTTTGTTTTGTTTTGTTTTGTTTTTCGAGGTACTGGGAATTAAACCCAGGGCTTTGTGAATTCTAGGCGAACACTTAACCACTGAACTACATCCCTAGTCCCAGGTGTTGGATATTTTTGAGATAGGATCTTGCAGACTGTTTGCCCAGGCTAGCCTTGACGTGCTGTCTTCCTGATGTCTGCCTCCTGAGTAGCTAGGATTACAGGTGTGAGCCATCTGTCCCCCATCTAATTTGAGAGTCTTTCAATATCCTATTGAGTGTTTTTATGTCAGTAACTGAGTATGTCAGCAATAAAACATTGGCAGAGCTTACTTAACATTTAGTGCCTAAGATATTAAGTAACAGAAAATTTCAGCCACTAATAACTTATTAACAGTCGTGTTTCAATTCAGCATTTATATTTGTGTGTATTCTTTGAAAACTTGATGAACTTCCCCAATTTTTACTCATTTGTTACACTACTTAAGAGCATAAAGGTCCATTATTCAAATTTGTTTTGTTTGGCTTTCTACATCAAAGCTAATTAGTGACCACTTTAGCTTTAGCTTTACCTATCTTTATTAAGATAGGTTGTTCTCTAGAGAATTCCATTGATACTAACAAGAAGTGTACAGATTGTGAGACATAATTTCGTTAAATGAAGTGGATAGTGATGAGAACCAGTGAATTTTTTTCTCTGAATTTTGATAAATAGAATTAAAAGGGAATAATCTGACAGTATTATATTGATGGATCATTTTGTTTACATAAGTCTATTTTAATGTCTTGTATGAAAACAGTTAAACTTAAGAAAAGGGCAGTACAACACATGTTCTAGGTTAAAAAGAGAAAATTAGTGAGGTGGGAGTAGACAACTTTGCAAATTTTATTTGATCAGAATTAGAAATTCCACTTGCTTATTATGTAAACTGTTTATTATTGCAAAGTATATTTCCTTAAGCCTGTTCTTTATGAGTGATGTTGTAAATCTTCATTGGTTGCTATTGATGTAAATTTAATAGTTAGTGAAACTCATTTGATTGAAACTGTTCTCTATGAATCAAAACAGGTTTGTCACTTAAATAAGAATATACAAAACCAGCAAAATTCACATAGCATTAATCATTTTAGAAATAAATCTTTTTGTGGCTTTCTTGTGATGCTGGGAATCAAACCCAAGTCCTGTGCATGCTAGGCAAGCACTCACTACCTGTTACTTGTTGGTATGCTTCTGTTTACACATTAAAGTTGCTTCGTAAGATAGTGAGAAATCTAAAATAGTAAATAGTATCAGTGTGATCCTGACTTCACTTAATAATATGCTACAGGCTTCTTATCTGGACCAGTGAGTATGATGTTTTCAGTTGGAAATGGTAAATATTTTAATAATATCATAGGAATAGCTTTATTTCTATTTTCTCCAGTAATACAGTGCTTAAGAGGCCTAGCTTTTGGAATCAGCTAGATCTATACCCTAACGTTAGAATTTTTCACTTAATTGGTAATTTAGTGTTTGGGCAGATAAGTTATTCTAGTAATTTCTGAGTGAATTTTGTTATCTGAGATGCAGGTAATCACAGAAACATTGCTAAATTGTCTACTGTTTTAAAACCTTTATCATGTCACTGATAAATGTCAGCTAATACTTTGTTCAAATCCAGTAAGTGAAGGGAATTCTAATTATAGAATAATTAAAAGGCAAAAGCAAAATTTGTGAATGGTGGACCAAAGAAAGAAGTACTTATGTAATGATTGAATCAGAAACTTTGTATATGTAGTGGGTAGCTGTATGGAGAGAATAATGAAAAGACAGGAACGAGATTGAAGAATTGTGATGACAGCTCCAAATTATTCATGTGAACCAACTTATTCTTGTTGAACACAGTCTCGCTATATAGTTCAGACTGATCTGGAACTCTAAATCCTCCTTCCTCAGCCTTACTAAGTGCCAAATAAGAATTGGGCTACTTTCCCTCCACCATTGGCTTTGTATTTAAGGAATAAAACTTAATTCTTATATTCAAAAGTATGAGGAAAACATGAATAACAGGACAATGTGATAGAGCCAATTTATTGTCATATTACAGTTATTTGTGAAGCTAGAAGGAAGGAGATAATCATGAAACTCCAAAACTCTCACTTACTTTCAGGGTTTTTGAATTTAATTTGAAAATAAGAATACTTGCTTACATGTGCTTGAGGTAATAAGCACATGAAACTTACAGAAAGACATTACTGAGGTCATTTATTTTCCTTTATGTTTTGATGGTGCTGGGGTTTGAACTCAGGACCTTATGTTTGTTAGGCAGGCACTCTACCACTTGAGCCATGCCTCCAGCCCTACTTTGCTAATTCTTCTATATACGTGTTAAAGTCTTTTGTTAACATCTAAATTTTCTCCTTAAAAGAATAAACACCTTAGGTCTTTTTCAGTAAGTTTACTAATTAGCAAAATAGACATTAGATAATATTTGAATCTAAAAGCCTAAACACTTTACTTGGGAAGTTCTAGGAGTATTCACGGTGATAATCTATGAATAGGTACAAAATAATAAAACATAAAATGAATATAAGTGATGGAAGGTAAACTTTTTCTGTCATCTTCCCATTACTAATTATTACCATTAAGGACACTTTGTTTTCTTCACTGGACAATAGTTCATGTGGTTTGTTCAGAATACATTAATCTTTTATCATGTTTTTCTTACACTTTTTCTTGTTTTCCTTACTTTTAGTATCAACCTAAAGTTCATAAGGGGACATCATAACTGTATTGAAGATAGTATATGACTTTTCTGTATTTTTGTAATAAGTATTTAAGCATAAAACATTTCACAGTAACTGAGACAAGAACTACTTTCCATTCTATAAATGAAAGATCAACCTCTGTAGAGTTGTAAAACTAGTAGGATTAGAGTTAGTTGATTGAAATTCTGATGAATCGGGCACAAAAGTATATTTTCTCATGCTTAATAAGCACAACAACATTCTCTTCTTTTACCGCTCATTCCTTACCATCTTCGGGTACCTTTGTCATCTCTTACTTTGCTACCTACTCTTCTGTGAGTGATTTCTTAGGCTTCACCTTTCTTCTTTATAGGACATTCCATCATTCTTTGCACTGAGGACCTCATTGAAGAAACACAGCCAGAATATTTCTTGCTCCAAGGAATCCAATATTAGGAAAGGTGAAATTTCTAGTCAGAATCTGTTTGAGGCTTAAAGACTATATATATGTTGCTTATTTACTCTCCATCTCCTCTGCCTTTCAGTTTTATAGTCAATGATTGCATATGTATAACAGTTGTATTTCTTCTTTCCATGTGGAATCATTTTCTTTCTGCCCCAAACACATTCTTTAGAATAGGATTTTGCTCTTGGCAAATTGTTTGGTTTTATTTGTCTGGAAAAGTTTCTTTTCTGCCCTCTACCCTAACTGGCATTTTCAAGTCTCTGAGATTCTACAGGGCAGATTACATAACTTCTTAACTATACACATTCCTTTGTGCATGTTTTAATCTGAAGCTTTTTTTCCTTTATATCTCCCTGTAGAAATGTATATTTGGGATCATTCCCTAGCATAATAAAGTTACCATTATAGTAACTTTGTTATAGAAATCTATAAAGGAAGGAAGATAAACTTAGATGCTTAGTCAGCCATATTGAACTAGAAGTCTTCAGTCAGTCAGTCATGCTTAAACTTAATTGGGTTATACTGACAGTCCTGCTTCAATACTTGGATTCTTCTGAGAGCCCTTGCAAGCTTACTACCTTTTGTATTTCATAAGCACCAGCCATTCCTTAGATTATTGGGTTTTATTTAATTTGGATTTTAAGTTCCAAGCTAAGACTTTCTTTGTATTTAATTTCAAGAACCTTTTTTCTTTTTCTTTTCCTTTTCAAAGGCAAGGTTCCACTATGTTACCCAGGTTGGTCTGGAACTCTCAGGCTTAAGGAGTTTTCCCATCTTAGTTTCCCAAGTACTAGGACTATAGATGTTTGCCATTAGGCTCAGTTTCAAGAACTTTAAAGGGTGGGGGAGGAGAGGCAGTACTGGAGTTTGAACTCAGGGCCTGGTTCTTGCTAGGCAGGCTATCACCTGAACCAAGCCCCTTACTTTTTTTCCTTTTTCTTAATTTTTTACATAAGGTCACTTTGTAGCTCAGGTTAACCTCAAGCTTGTGATCCTCGTGCCTCAGCCTCCTGAGTGCTAGGGTTACAGGTATGCACTGGCATTTCCAGATAATACTTGATTCATTCTGTCATCATCTGTTTACCAAAAGTAGTCATTGTAACTTAGATTGTTTAGTATTTATTGTTCTCTGTTTGATATCTTTATTACTATTATTTTTGTTTTGTTGACTTCATTGTGTAATAGCTTCCAAAAAGCTATACACGGGTAATAGACTTTTCTGTGTTCTTGTGTGCTTGAAGATGTCTTTTTTATCTCTTTGGGCCCTTTTTTATATAACCAATAAGTTGGAATGTTTTCCCTAGTGGATCAACATGTGTTTAATTTTGGAAAGATGAACCTCTTCTCAGTTTGTTCTAAGCCCTTATTCATTGTCAGAATGGTGAAACACCATACCAGCTTTATCTTTTGGAGACTTTGAAGCCTCACATGAACACAGAGTCTCTCCAGGTTCTCTTAGGAGTCCTTGTATAGTTTTGTTGAGATGGTCCAGTAGAAAGATGGTGTGGTTTTGGGGTAGGGTATTACCACATATCTCTACCCAGCTTATCAATTCATAGGCTATGTTATTTAATATGCAGAGCTAATTTTAACTTACATTTACTACAATTTTTCTCTTGGAGTTAATTCTTCTAAACTTTACAACTGTGAAACAGATGGATTTACAATTTTTGTAAAGGAAGAAAGACTTGCTTCACTATGGTAATTGTGAATATGTATATGTGTTTGATAATACCTGTTTGATTATACATACAGATTGATTAAATGCTGGAAATAGTGTTTCATATATTTAGGAAATGCAGTAGTCTTGAGAAAGGTCTGCATTTAGCAATTATTTATGTTACTATCTTGAGAAAACAGGTTTAAGTTGGTTGCCCTGCTCTCACATGATGACTTGAATATTGTTAGATGGTCAGTAAATATTTGAGTTAATTGGTATTATGAAAGTAGACTTTTTTTTATTACTTTAACTTGCTACTTTAAAAAGGTATTTAGAAATAGAGGGGACTGTGGTTCTTTGCGTATTGATTATAACTTTGTGAAATGAATGAAAAAGGAGTTGGAAAATGTAGTTTTCTTTTCAAAATGGGCAAGGGGACATCAGAAGTGTATTTTATATATTCTAAGTGTTAAAAGTCATTAGGTTGAAATTTGCAAATTTTATGTTAATGAAAAGTGCTAAAATTTAATCTTGATTTTTCAGTTATGTCTAACTGAATTCGTTTTTAGACGTCATTCAGTTATTGGCATATGTTGTGAGATTGTTTTAGCTTTATTTCTTAAGCTGGAATATATATACAGTCTGTATTTATTTAGTTAAATTATTTTACATAGGAGCCAGCCACTATTAATATTTTTAAATATAGCCAGTGTTTAGAATGGACTATTCTTTAAGTGAATTTATTTTACGCTAAAATTTGAAATTGTGTGTAACTCTTGCTCGTACTTTATTTATGCAGAATATCCTCCGAATCCTAAATCTAGAGCACCAAGGATGCTGGTCATTAAGAAAGGTAATACAAAAGACTTACAGCTATCTGGATTCCCAGTAGCAGGAAATCTTCAGTCACAGCCAGTTAAGAATGGAACTGGTCCAAGTGTTTATAAAGGCCTTGTCCCTAAACCTGCTGCCACCTACGAAAGTAAGTTTTCAATTGTTACAAATTAAAATTTTTTTCTTTTTTTATTCATTTATTCGTATGTATAAATTCAAATTCTGATAGATAAAATTTTCCCCACTTGATTTACTTCAGGGGAAAATGCTTAAAATTTTTTTATGAAAATGAGATATTTATGGGGTACTGACTTTTCAGGGGAGTTGGCCCATGGTGTGATACTACTTCTAATTATTTTTCATGTGTGTGTCCATAAGGGTGTTCTTGTTTAGTAACAAATTAAGTTGATATGGTTTTTATTTTGCTAGATACACTTATGGTATATTTGCTTAGCAATATTAATACTATTTATTTGGTGCTCAGTTTAGGTTTTTGAAACTTCCCCCTTTTTGGGGGAAGGGGTGGGACTGGGGTTTGAATTCAAGACTTCATGTTCACAAAGCAGGTGGTCTGACGCTTGAGCCACACCTCCAGTCCGTTTTGTTTGGGTTATTTTGGAGGTGGGAGTCTGGTGAACTATTTGTCTAGTCTGGCCTTGAGCTGTGATCTTTCCTATCTCAGCTTCCTAAGTAGCTAGGATTACAGATATGAGCTACTGGCACCTGACTTCACATGAGTTTTCTTATGGAAACACCCTTACTTAAGCCTCATAAAGTTCTGGAAAAATTTTGATTTAGTTAGTTGTTTTTATATGAATAAGAAGCTTTGATTTTATTTATGGAAAAGGAGGAACAGATAGCCATTATCAGAATGATGAAGTAATACAAAAAAGTAATTGTTTTTATGAGCCGAATGTGGTCATTTTTATTTTACTGTGTTCATTTTGTTTTTCTCTATTTTCTGTAATCTGTTTTTGATAACCTTAAATGTTTGTGTGTTTCTCCAGCCTGCACAGTGGAAAAGCCAAACTAAAGAAAATAAAGTTGGGACTTCTTTCCCTCATGAACCTACATATGGTATTGGCAACTTTAATGCTTTTAAATCAACTGCCAAGAATTTTAGTCCATCAACAAATTCAGTGAAAGAGGTATGGCATTTAAAAATTCCTCAAGGGAATAAAGGAATGTAACATTTTAGTCTTTCTTATCTTTTTTTTAAAGTGGGGTCTCACTGTATTGCAAGGCTGGTCTTGAACTCCGAGGCTCAGGTGACCGCTTGTCTTTGCTTTCTGACTATAGACGTGCCACCATGCCTGGTTGCTAAATCATGATACATAAATTCATTAAGTGAATACATTAAAATGAAATTTTTGTTTCTTCTGGAAAAGAAGTTTGCTTTGGGTACTTCCATCTATATGCTAACTCTTTTTGTACTTTTAGAAAGTAGAAATAATGAAGATTTGTATTAATATCTTGGGAGTAATACTGAGTTGGGGAAAGACAAGGAGGGAAAGGTGTCTATTATTTTTTTGTACTGAAGATGAGTACCTGGTAGCTTGAGTACTTTTATTTCATTTGGCCAGATTTTTGAAACTCTCAGGGAGTTTCCTGTCCAGGGTCAAAGGACACTCAACCTTATTATACTTGAAATTGCTTTGGGTACCATATTGGAGTATCATAAACCCGTATACTATTTCTTAGTTATTTTCTCAGTCACAGGTTTTTGCATTATAAAGGAAGGATCAGCATTCTTAACTAGTTCATTATGCTTAGATTAATTATAGTACATTAATGTCAGAATTTAAACATTATTACGGTTTATTTCTCTGGCCAGAAAAAAACCTTATGCAGAGCTCTAACATTCAGTTTTCTATTGTATTACACCGTCAGACTCCAAAGAACCAGGCGGGCACCTAGGCTGACTGAACCAGCAATCCCAGTTACTCCGAAGGCAGAGATTGGAAAGGATCACAGTTCAAGAGTAGCTCAGGCAAAAAGTTAGGGAGACACCATCTCAACAAACAAGCTGTAATCCCAGCTGCTTGGGAGGCATAGGTAGGATGATCATGGACCCAGGCCAGCCCTGGGTAAGAAATGTGAGATGTTTAGTTATTGGAAAAATAACTAAAGCAAAAATGACTGGGGTTGTGTGGCTTGAGAGATAGAGAGCCTATCTAGCAAGTATGAGTTCAAACTCAGTACCACAGAGGGGAAAAGGGAGACAGAAAAACCCCAAAAGGACTTTAGTAAATGTTCATTTTTCCTCTCCTCCCTGTCCTCTCAGAAAATTTCTCTGGTGAAATCCAACCTAATAAACCCTATGAATATAAATCCAACCTAATAAACCTTACATGTATAAATCATTATAAAATAGATCTTAGTGGCACTATTACTTGAACTCTAGGACATAGTTTGAAAAACTGTTCTATGTATCACAGAAATGTTAAACAATTCTAGGATGCACTTATAAATTAATATAAAGTCTTCATTTACCATGGTAGTTCTGAGTATTATTACCAGACCTTCATTGTCTTTGGGATAATAAAATTCTGTTGTTGACACATCATCCAGTGGCAAAGAAATTTATAGTGATAGAAGTAGACTCTGAAATAAACGTTTAAGTAAAATTGGATGCTGTGGTAGTTGTAAACTTTATATTGACATCAATTCACTGGTTACCTATTTACCAGTTGTTCTGAATTTCCTTTTAGTGTAACCGCTCAAATTCCTCTTCACCTGTTGACAAACTTAATCAGCAGCCTCGTCTAACCAAACTGACACGAATGCGCACTGATAAGAAGAGCGAGTTTTTGAAAGCGTTGAAAAGGGACAGAGTAGAAGAAGAACATGAAGATGAAAGCCATGCTGGCTCAGAGAAGGTAATTGAATTTGCAGTAATGCTTGATTTGATATTAACATGTCATTGAAAGACTTGTGCAATTATTTAGGACCTTGGAATATAATCATATTTTCATCTCCCTGAAAAGGTGACTAGGTAATCATTTGCATAGATAATGGAATGGTGTCCTTTCTAAAGTTGGTTTTCTTACTCTGTATTGTGCATTTTCTATGCAAAAATACTTTTTCCTTTTCTTTTTTTGAGATAGGTTTTGGTATGTAGTCTAGCCTAACCTTGAACTTGAGATGCTCCTGCCTCAGCCTCCCGAGTACTGAGATTACTGATAGGCACCGTCATGCCTAGCTACAAAAATGTACTTTTTAAAGTTCCTGTGTATGGTTTTTTTTTTGTTTCTTTTTTCTCGGTCTTCATCCTCATCCTTTTGGCTATGCCTTTGTTCAGTAGTATTCTTGGTGCCAGAAAGCTTTGAACATCCTTTCCATCTTAGTTTTCCATTCTTGTGAGAATGCCTTCTAAGTTTAATGATGGTAAGTATTACATACATATATGTATTCTTAGTGGGAATCTAGCCAGAATCTATTAAAGTTTTTAGTAAATGTTCTTTAGAACTCATTCTTTTTTTTTTTTTTTAAACTCCCTGAAAATCAGGATGACGACTCATTTAATTTGCATAACAGCAATACTACTCACCAAGACAGAGATATAAACAGAAACTTTGATGAAAATGAAATTCCACAAGAGAATGGCAATGCTTCAGTGATTTCCCAGCAGATTATTCGGTCTTCAACCTTCCCACAAACTGATGTTCTTTCCAGTTCACTTGAAGCAGAACACAGGTTAGTATTCAGAATTATGATATTATGCAGCTCTTTTGTGATTACTGATTTTTTTTGTCCCCTGGGTATTGAACCAAGGGGGTGCACATTCTAGGTAAGTGCTCTTCTGAGAGCAGAGATCCCCCTCCCCCAATCCCTAGTTAAGAATATTCATAGTTTGGCAACTACTGTTGCAACCTAATTTTAGAATATTTCCATCACTATCCAAAAGTGAACAGTGCCCTTTTTGATTTACTCATTTTCACCAACCACTAATCCACTTTCTGTTCACAGATTTGCCTTTGAATGGATATTTCACATAAGAGAAATCATACGTTAACTTCTGTTTCTGGCTTCTTTGACTAAACATTTCGTAGTTCATTTGTGTTTTAGTACATTAGTACTTTGTGCTTCCCACGTCCCCTTTTTGGGCAGTACTTGGTTTGTACTAAGAACCTCAAGCTTGTGAGGCAGATACTCTACCACTTGATTCGTCCTCCCCATGCCCAGTTGCTTTTTATTTTTTCAAGTAGGGTCTCCTGTGGGGATTTTGTGTGTGGCCAGGGCTACAATCCTACCAATGTCTTGTGTAGCTTGAATTACAGATGTGATGCTTATCTTTTTTGAGATGGGGGTCTCACTAATGTTTGCCCAGGCTAGCCTGGAACTGTGATCCTCCCAATCTCCACTTTTTGAGTAGGTGGGATTATAGATGAGTATCTGAGATTATAGGCTTGGGTGACAATATGCCTGGTCCTTTGTTCTTTTTTATTATTGAATAGTACACTGAATGGCTATACCACTTTTGTTCATCAATTAATGCATATCAGTTGTCTCTACTTTGTAACTACTATGGTTAATGTTGGTATAAAATTCATGTAGATTTTTCTCTTGGATAGATCTGGGAGTTTAACTATCAGATTATTTTCCAAAATGACTATAGCATTTTACATTTTTATTAGTACTATAGATGGTTCATTTTCTCCATATTCTCATCAACACTTGATACTGTCTGTCTTTGATTATAGCCATTTCAGTGGATATGAAGTAGTATCTTTATGTGGTTTATAATATGCAATTCTTTAAAGGCTAACAATACTGAGTGATAGTCATGTGTCTGTCGTCTGGGGGAGAAAAGCTATTTAACTGTTTTGACCCTTTTGCAGTGCTGGAGATTGAACTCAGGGCCTTGCCCATGCTAGACAAGTGCTCTACCACTGACTTACATCTCTGGCCCTACTCAATTTTTTTCTTTCTTTCTTTTTTTTTTTTTTTTGTAAATAACTAAATGATAAGATGGGCAGGGTGGTGCTTGCAGCTATTCTCAACAATGTTGGGTCATTTCTCCCCCCTTCCCCCACCCCCCGACCCCCCGACCCCCTTGATACCTGGCAGAAACTATTTTGCCCTTATCTCTAATTTTGTTGAAGAGAGAGTATAAGCAGTAATAGGAAGGACTAAGGGTTTTTGCTAGTTTAGATTAAGGATAGCTAACAGGGAGTTGATTCGCATATTTCCTGTGCATGTGTGTTACCTTGTAAGTTAAGTTCTCGAACTAACCTTTTCTCTAGTTCTGGTTCCCCTTCTCCTATTCCTCAGTTGCTTTAAAGTATCTGCTTTCTCTGTGTGAGGCAACAAATGCTATCTAGTTTTTTAGGTGTCTTACCTATCCTCATACCTCCCTTGTGTGCTCTCACTTTTATCTTGTGATCAAAGTCCAATCCCTTTGTTGTGTTTGCCCTTGATCTAATGTCCGTATGTGAGGGAGAACATAAGATTTTTGGTCTTTTGGACCAGGCTGACCTCATTCAGAATGATGTTCTCCAATTCTATCCATTTACCAGCGAATGATAACATTTCGTTCTTCTTCATGGCTGCGTAAAATTCCAATGTGTATAGATACCACATTTTCTTGATCCATTCATCAGTAGTGGGGCATCTTGGCTGTTTCCATAACTTGGCTATTGTGAATAGTGCTTGCAGCTACTCTTGAGAATAGAGCAAGAGGCTTGCTTGAGACAAGGAGTTGGAGGCCAGCCTCAGGAACATAGTGATAACCCTATCACAACAACAAAAACATTGTGCTCTTACTATTTTTGGAGATGGGGTTCTAGTGAACTGTTTGGCTGGACTGTCCTCAAAGTACAGTCTGTGTGTGGTGCTGGTGTAGCAAGTGTTCTATCACTGAGCCACACCCTGGCCCATTAATAATATATTTACCCCAATCTAACAGTTAGCTTTTGGATTTCAGCTTATTTTCTGTGGAAATAGAATGATACTTCTATGTTATACTTTAATTGAGATTTTTTTTTCCTTCAGTATTAGGATTTGAACTCAGGGCCTCATGCTTGCTAGGCAGATGCTCTACTACTTGAGCCATACTACCAGCCCTTTAATTGTGATTCTTAAGTAATCAGGCATATATCATTCTGAAGAGTTAGGAATACTCCCTTTCTCCCCCCATTATTTTAGTGTTGACAGTTGAACCCAGGGACTCCCAGTCAATCCTCCAACAAGTTACAACTCCAGCCTAATACTTGCCTTTTGTTTTATTTCCTTTTATAAAACTTAAGATAGTTTTTTCCATCTATATTCATGTAGCTTTCAGTTTTTAAAAGCAAAATAACTATGGACATAGCAAAGTCAGTTAGTTTACTAGTTCAAGATCTGTTGGCTGTGGATTAAGTGGCATTGAATGATGTAAGTGAAAATGCCATTCCAAAGGGTGGCCATCTAGGTTAAAGAGAAAAAATTTGGAAAAGAAAAGTTAACCAATAAGGATGAAAGGAATAGTAGTTAACATTGACTGCCATTTTGTTCAGAGGCAACAGAGTTCAATGTAGTATGTACTTTAGAGGCAGAAAATCTTGTTTTACTTATGTGACCATGATTCTTCATCTGTAAAATATAGATAGCAAGTTAAATTTTATTCAGTGTGTCTGAGTATTTATGTTCTGTGAGGCGTGTGAAAGGTATGAGAGTATGGAAGCAGTCAATGTAGGATGGGCACAGTTGAAAGATGAAGTATAAGAAGAACAATAGAAATGGTTAAGGAATAGAGTTGTGGGGTTTTTTTTTGTTTTTTTGTTAGGGTTGTCACTATGTAACCAGACTAGCATCAAATGTACTGTGTAGCTCAGGTGGCCTTGAATTCCTGATCCTCTTGCTTCAGCCTCCCAAGTGCTAGGATTACAGACGTGAACCACCACACCTGGCATGAACAAACGCAATTTAAAAAAATTAACAAGCCCATCAGACGAGTACAAATAAGTGGCCTTACAGGAAGTAGAACTTTTGAAGTTACTGAATCAAATTCAGTAGCTAGTGTTTGCTTACTCAACAAGTGAAAAATACTTCGCTGTCAGTCTTAGTTTTTTTTTCCCCCTGAAAAAGAACTATCTTCTTTAAAAATTGGAAAGAAAAGAGAATAACCATATTAGTCATTTATTCATTCATTCATTTATTTACTTACTTAGTTCCTGTTTGAGAGCTTTTAGAAATCATTTTTGTTATTGTAGAACCTAATGCTTTCAAAGTGAACACAAGAGAATAGGCTAAGCTATCTCAGACTTTTTGCAATGTAGAAAACCTTATGAGCAAGAATATGTTGTATTGTGATATTGAAGAAAGAGAGGAGGAGTAATGCTGTTATTTTTAGTACAAGAATTTGACTAGTTTTATTTAGGCCTTTCCCATTGTAATTTCTAGTCTAGAGAGCCTTTGACACCAAAAATTAAGCAGTTAAGCAGTTTGTTCTTATTTACTGTCAATGATAGCTTATTTAACTTAGTATGATCTATTTTTTTCATTTTCAGAAGATACTGAAAGCATGATCTCAAAAGTCCTTTTGATGTACCCGTGGCCTTTGAATAATGGATCATAGACCATGTTTTCTTATACATGATATAAATGGAATTGCCTCCTCAGGTGAAGCTCTAACTTAAACTTAATTTCCTCCCTTCTTTTCAGATTGTTACAGGAGATGTTAAATATGAAATGAAACTGTGCTCCCTAACTGAGGATGAAATGAGAGAATTCCAAGTTATAGTGAACAGGTAAGATACCTGAATCATTCATGTCATTTTAAGTGCCCTTCTTAATTAGATAGAATAACATAATTATAGATGAGCTTGTAAGAAGGGGCTGGGATTTAGTTTCATTTAGGAATTATTAGATAAAATCACTTGTAGGTCCAAATTGCCTTGGTTTGAGCAAGAATATTTCATATTCTAGACATACTGTTTTCATCTCTAATTTCCTTTTTCTTTTTTTTTTCAACTATGCTGACATTCTGGTATAGTTGACAACAGATGTTGGCAAAAACCAGGCCCAGAATGATCTCAAAAGTCCTTTTGATGTACCCGTGGCCTTTGAATAATGGATCATAGACCATGTTTTCTTATACATGATATAAATGGAATTAGCCTCCTCAGGTGAAGCTCTAACTTAAACTTAATTTCCTCCCTTCTTTTCAGATTGTTAAAGGAGATGGGCTGGCAGGAAGATAGTGAAAATGATGAAACTTGTGCTCCCTTAACTGAGGATGAAATGAGAGAATTCCAAGTTATTAGTGAACAGGTAAGAATACCTGAATCATTCATGTTCACTTTTAAGTGGCCCTTCTTTAATTAGATAGAATAACATAATTATAGATGAGCATTGTGAAGAAGGGGGCTGGGATTTAGTTTCATTTAGGAATTTATTAGATAAAAATCACATTGTAGGTCCAAATTGCCTTGTTTTGAGCAAGAATATTTCATATTCTAGACATACTGTTTTCATCTCAATAATTTCCTTTTTCTTTTTTTTTCAACTATGCTGACATTCTGGTATAGTTGACAACAGAGTTGGCAAAAACCAGGCCCAGAATGTCAGCCAGCTATTAGCTGCTGTTCTCCCAGCGGTGTAACACTTGCCTAGGTACAAGGCAACCTAGGCAGCTGCCTACAGCTGGGGAATAATTTCCTTTTTCAAAGAGTACTAGTAAATACTTGGCAGACCATCAAGAAGTTGAGTTGGAAGTTTGGCATGTAGGATGCCTATAACCTGAGCACTTAGGAGGCTCAAAAGTTTAAGGGCAGTCTGGGCTATATAGTGAGATCATGTCTCAGATGAAAAAAAAGAAAAGGTTGAGTTTTTCTAAATTCATTATAATTTTTTAAAAATTGTTCTGGTAATATAAAGCTGATTCTCTACTGGATATGGTTATGATTGATAACTGACATCTTAAGTGCTTTGAATGAAGTCTTGGACTTGATAATCTTTTTGTGTTTGAACTCAGGGATTTACACTTGCTAGGGAGGTACTCTACCATCTAAGTCATTCTCCAGTCCTACTGTCTTTTGTTGTTGTTGGACTGCGGTTTGAACTCAAGGCTTTGTGCTTGCAAAGCAGAGGCTCTATCAGTTGAACCACACCTCCAGTCCATTTTGCTCTGGTTATTTTGGAGATTGGGGGGGTTCTCTCTGTCTTTGCCTGGACTGGCCTTGAACTTCAATCCCTATCTCAGCCTCCCAAGTAGCTAGGAATCCTACAGGGGAACTTGATCGTCTTTGTTTTAACTTAAGTGAATTTATGAATCTTTCCCTTATTAACTTTTAAAAATTGTGTTGAAAGGCACATAACATAAAATTTACCATTGTGTTTTAAATCACATTTTTATTATTAATTGTTCTTTACATATTTTTAGATATTAACATCTCTTACATAAAGAATTTGCAGATATTTTCTCCCATTCTGTAGATTGTATTGTTTATGCTGTTTTGTGATGCTGTGGGTTGGATCCAGGGCCTGTTCATCCTAGGCAAGCTGTACTTTCACCCCTGGCTGTCCTTTGATGAAAGAAATACTTAATTTTGATGTAGTCTAATTTACCTATTTTTCCTTATTCTACTTTCTCTGTCATATTCAAGAAATCACTGACGATCCAATGTCATGAATCTTCAAACTCTATAAGAATTTTATGGTTTTTAGCTCTTAGCTTTAGATGGGGGGTGGGTGGGTTGTGTTTAGTAGGCAGGACCTCTAACCCTTGATCTGTGCCGCTAGCCATTTTTTTTTTTTAATTTCTAATAGTGTAAAGATCCATCTTTGTTATTCTGCATATCCTTCCTTCAATACTACTTGTTGAAAAGACTGTCGTTGAATGTTTGTGGTACCCCTGCCAAATATCTTTTGACGGTATATGAAGTGATTTATTTCTGGGTTCTTCATTCCATTGGTCTGTGTCTGTTTTGTTAGGACTACATTGTTTTGGTTGCTGTAGGTTTGTGATAAGTTTAGGAATCAGGAAGTATGAAACCTTCATCTTAGTTTTAAAAGATCTTTTTAGAGTTCTTCCAGATTCCATTTGGATTTTAGGATGGATGTGTCTGTTTTTGTGCAGATACCACTGTGATTTTATAAGGGATTGCATTGAATTTGTAGGTCTTTTTAAAGACAATATTGTCTTCCAAACTATGTCTTTCCATTATTTCTTTCAACATTGTTTTGTGGGTTTTGGGCATACTATTTTGCCTCCTTGGTGAACTTTATTCCTTATAGTTATTTCTAAATACTTTTTCTTTTATGCTACTAAAAGTGGAATTGTTTTCTTAATCCTTTCTGAATTACTCATTGTTATTATTGTACAAGAAACAACTGATTTTTTTGTGTTGATTATACATCCTGCAGTTTGGATGTGCTTATTTAGGTGTACATTATTTTTGGTTGGAGTTGTCACTGAGGTTTTCTACTTTATATCATCTGCAAATAGATAATTTTACTTCTATTCCATGTCTTCTTTTCCGATTGACTTAAATTTTTTTATCCAGAAGCTTTTTAAGGTGGGGGGAGGTGGCAGGTAACCAAGGTTTGAGCTCAGGGCCCTTTACTTGACAGGTAAGTGCTCTACCACTTGCGCTATACTTCCAGTATTATTAACATCATTATTCAGAAATTCTTAGTGAACTGTTTTTTATACTGTGATTTCTCAGTTGACAGTAGGCAATAATTTTGGTTTATTGCGTTGCATAATTTTACATACAAAAATTCACTTCAGTTGTACATCTTGAATGAATTTTTGACATGAGTGTAGTTTTGTAACTGTGATCACAAGATGAGGAGCATTTCCATATCTCCCAAGTTTCCTCATTCATTCCCCTTTGCATTCAGCTTTTTCACCCCTAACACCAGCCCTTGGCAGCCACTTACCCATCTGTTTTTTGTTCCTAGACATGAGCTTTTCTAGTGTGCATATTAGGCAACACTCTACAACTGAGCTGCCCTCCTCTCCCCAGGGGAGATCTGCTGAGTATTATTATAGAGTAGTATTCCAAGGAAAGCATAATATTGTCTAACCAAGATAATTTTGACTTTCTGGGGGCCCATGGCTCATGTCTATAGTCCTAGCTACTCAGGAGGCAGAGATTAGGAGGGTCATGGTTCAAAGCTAGTCCTGCTTTGAGACTCTATCTCAAAAAACCCACCACAAAACAGGGCTGGCGAAGTGGCTCAAAATGTAGGCCCTGAGTTCAAACCTCAATATTGAAGGGAGAAAAAAAAAAAAACCAAAACCTTGTGAAGACTTAGGCAGGTAGATAAAACACTACTGATAATAAAATACTTCATAGACATGGAGGTCATTTTGCACATACTGTGGGTTGGCATTTAGTGATACATGTAAGTGTAAAGGTCAAATGATACAACATTTTATGTTTAGCTGTCCCCTCCCCCTTCCGATATTAGGAATGATGTTTTTGAAAGGAATTCTGTTGTACCGGTAACATTTATTGAGTGCTCAGTACTCCCCCGGGTAGCTGATATTCTTCAGGCTTGAAGTTATGGTATGAAATAGGTACTACTGCTAGTCCTGCTTTGTGGATGGGAAAACTACAGTTCATGTAATTTATAAGTAGTGGAGTTAGAATTGAGACTGAGTTTATTTGAATTCAAATTCATTGCCTGTACCTTTAACCATGATAAAAGGTTGTAGTGGAAAAAAAATGTAAATTGGGGTTAGGTTATGAAGGACTTTGAATGGTATGTCAGGAGTGTGAAGTGTGTTAAGGATATAAAATAATCATTATTTTGTACATGAAGTAAGTTATAGTAGAAAGTGTATATTGTAAGTACAATTTGTAAGAGTAGAATCAGGATGATCAATTGGACATATGTTGCAGTAATTAGAGGAGGATATGATAATAAAAATAAAAATCTTGATGAGCATACAAAATCTGGAAGAGAACCAACAGGATTTTGAAATTACAATATGTGAATTGATGATAGTATATTATAAGTACAAATATAGAAGGAGTAGTGCGTTTTAGGAGGGTTCCTCCCTGCGGGGTCCCCCCCACCCCACCACACACTGTGGTTTGAACTCAAAGGGCCTCCCACATCTTGAGCCACTCCATTAGACCTTTTCTGTGATGGGTTTATTTCAAGATAGGGTCTCAAAAACTATTTGCCCTGGCTGGTTTCGAACCGCAATCCTCCTGATCTCTGCCTCCTGAGTAGCTAGGATTAACAGGTGTGAGCCACCAGTGCCCAGCTTTAGGGTTTTAAAGTTGTTAAGTTAGATGTTCTCAGTGGCATTTAGAAAATTGAGGCATAGAGACTTAGGTCTTTATTTATTTATTTATTTTTCGGGGGGGGGGGGCAGGGGATGGTACTGGAGTTGAATTCTGGGCCTAGTTTGTTAGGCAAGTGCTCCACCACTTGAGCCATTCTACCAACTCTAGTTTAGGTTTTTATCAAAATTCTGTACAGCTATGGCAAGATGAGGTGACATTGATTGGAAAATCATGTTAGAACTTCAGTGAATGGAAAAGGTGCACCTTTCAAAGAGGGACCAGACAGATTTCTAATTAAAGTATCATGGCGACTGGGAACAGTAGAGGTGGATATGTGGCTTGTTTTTCCAAGTGAAGATTATGAGGTCATTTGTTCACAGTGAAAGGAGCTAGCATTGATGAGTTCTAGAATTAAAGCTATTGAAAATAAACTGAAAGCTAAGTCCCTAGACTTGTTAATTGTTTATATATATGTGTACACACACAAGCACAAAGTATTAATAAGTATGTATAAATTTTAGAACTTTAAATTATTTCTAATTTGAGCTAACCATCTGTTTTCCCTCTGTAATAGATGATCTTTTGACTTAGTTCTTATTTATTGCCATAGTCTTTATTTCTGTTTTCTCATTTTCAGAAATGGAGAGTATTATTTTTTCTAGTATCTTAGTTTCTGTGGGTACTTTACATATCTCATTCTGTTTATTCTGTAAAGTATGAATGATCCAGATTGTGGACTGTGTTAATTTAGGTCATGACAATAAAAATAACAACATTAGCTTAATGGTCTCTGATTATATGCTAGGTAGCACCTGAATGTATGCCTATTACAATGTTTATGGACCTTGCTTGATTCTAAAATCTGTGCTCTTCCTCTACTATACACACTAATTGTTTTAATAGTGGTTTGATAGATGTTATATGCTGTTTGATAATAGGGTATAATTATTGTATTTGGGAATATTTTGTTAGATCAAGTGGACCAATTTTCTATGTCTAAATACCTTATTTTCCAGACATGATTTGTTACCTGTGGAATTTTCAGGGTGGAGTACAAGTTTTAATTTTTAAAATTACATTATTACACTGTAGTATTAATAGATCACTTTTGTGGTGAAATTAATTAATTAATATTTGCCATTTAGTTACAGAAGAATGGTCTGAGGAAAAATGGCATTTTGAAAAATGGCCTGATCTGTGACTTCAAGTTTGGACCCTGGAAAAACAGCACTTTCAAACCCACAATTGAGAATGATGACACAGAGACAAGTAGCAGTGACACATCAGATGATGATGATGTGTGAAGGATTACCTAACAGCTTTAGAAATTTTAGTGTGATACATCTCTCATGCAGTTTGGGGTGAATTGTAAAAATGAAGAACTATAATTTATGTAGTGAAATACCCCATTAGAAGATGATTATTTTGGGGGACTTCGTTATGAAGAAAACCAAGAATGTTGTGTTGGGCTGTGTTGAACATTATTTCTTTGTAAATGAATGTTGTAGAAATGAGGACTTTGGTTGATCCAGCATTGACTTTCTTCATCACTGCAGCATTTCTCTGACTAGCAATGTGACGATGTAACAAATGAGATTTTCTCATTTAATAATAAAAAATTGTGTAATGTTTTGCAAAGCTTCTGTCTTAAAATGTCCAGGTCTTCAGAAAAAAAGGCAGCTTACAGTTTTGCTTGCAGAGTCCTATCTTTTTCGTACAGCGGAAATCTTTCCAAGTCCACTTTGTGCACCTTCCCACCCACTCCCCCAAAAAACAAAGCAAAAAGGAAAATGTAGCATGTTGACTAAAACTGGAGCAAAGTGCACTAAAAGTAATTTCCTGAACTCAACTGTTGTACTAGTCACCTTTTAAAACATAAATTGCTCTTTATCCATCTGTAGTGCAGTAAATGTTATAGGAGAGACTTACCACACTTCCAAATTTAAGAGGTGATTTTCAGCAGCTTTATTTGGATATGTTGTCAGATCAGGATTTTCAGAGTTGATGGAAGAGAGTCTTGTGGGAAAACTTATTTTGATAAATTATTACAGATGCAGAAAAATTGAGCACACTGACTGGATCTGTCCACAACATGGAAAATAAACTGGATTTTCAGAACATTGTTGTTCTCTGTAATGTTCAAGGTATTATTGGTGTCTAAACACAACATACTTTATTCACTTCTTAAAGTTATACTTCCATTAAAGATGGTTATTACTTTCTGAAGTTAGAAAAAGAAAGCCAAGTTGTTTCAATAGCAATACACAAGTTTATTGAATGAATGTTGCCTATTTGCACATTAATTTTAGAATCATTTCTGTTGTACTGGTGATTGGAAGACTAGTGCTCTGTATATTTGTATTTGGATTTTATGGGCTTTGTTTGCCCCCATTTGTTTTTACTCCCTCCATTTCAGTTGTAAAGAGCATAATCTTAGAGCAAAAATGTTTGAGGTTTTATGTTAGATTGATCTAATCCTAAATTTGTTTGTAAAATTGTGTTTTCTTGGAAGGCTGCAGTGTGTTTTTGTTTCCCCATCACTACTGTGCCTACTGTGCCTAGACTCCTCGTTTTCACCAGAAGCTGTCAATTTTTGTTCCCATTGAGACTGGTGGTGATGGGAAAATTAAAATAGAAACTACATACTTGCACCCCCCTCATAAAACTTTTCATTATAATTTAATGGTAACAAAGTATTAAACGTCTCTCTAACTTTTAAAATAGTAAACTTTTACTGTGAAGTTTGCCACAATTCAGTCTAAACTTAAATGATGCTTTGACAGAACTGTCAGTGTCTCATATTGAATGTCTTTGGGACTCTTAGGTTGTACTGTTTAATTAATAGTAGGATAATGAAATCTGTCAGATGCAAAATGCCAAAAAAGAAAAAAACCACAAAACTAGAAGGGACCTAAGGAATGGGACTTAAATTTCAATTCCACCTTACTATGTTTTCTAATTTTAGAGATTTTGTAATTTTTGTTTTCTGGCATCTTTTTCCTTCTATTCAGACATTTCTTTTGGCCTTAATTTCCATTTACCAGGAGTTAACTGATGTTTATTGTGCTTTCATGCATAGTGATAATGGAATGTGTTTACTTTTTAAAAATGTAAAATACAAGGGGGGGTAGTTATACTTACTCAGCGATGGCATTAACACGTTTGGTTACTAATGGAATGGACCCACACACATAATTTAAGAGAGGGTTAAAAGCTAGCATAGTTTTTACTTGCTGTGTAAATATGGGCAGGGTTGATAACAGAGTTTGGACCGTATTATTGGAAAGTGAGCCCGTAAGTACAGAAAGGTTAAGTTGTAGATGTGGTATGGAATTAGGCCCATGGTACTCGAAAAAGAAGGTAATTTGTTCAAACTCACTTTCTCTCTCTAGCAAGTTTTTAAAACATCAGTTAAGGTACAGGTGGACATAAACAACATGTAAAGCATAAAACTTGTTAATTTGACCCAAAAAATCACCAAGGGAATGAACATCCATGTCACCCCCCCCCCCAAAAATTTCTTGGTACTCCCTTCTTTGTAAATCGCTTCCTCTACTGCTACCCCCTCACATTTTTTGGCATAAATTGTAATTACTGAGTAAAATGCTTATAGTAATAATTTAAAATAGCATTTCAAAATTGTATCTTGTTTGGATTTTTAAGGTAAGGCTTAGAGTAAGTTTCCATAATTTTCTATTAAAATTGAAATAAACAGAAGTGTTAACCCAAAAATAACCAGATTGACTTAACATCAGATTTATATTAGAATTTAATATTTTGAGGTATCTAGTTTCTAACCAAATATTTTGTCTAGCAACCTTTAAATACTGAAATATCACTAGTTGAAATCTGGATATTGTGAACAGCTTAGGTTTCCTGAGGTTTTAGTGGTTCCTTGGCCATTGGGGAGGGTACTGGGCAGAGGACATTTCAGGCAATAACAAAACCCTAAAAGCTTCCAGCGCTGCAAAGAGGCTTCCGTTTTTAGTTTTGAGACATTGACTCTCTAGGTAGCCCAGATCTTTCTCCCTCAGGCTCCTGGGTGCTGCAATTACAGGCCTGCAGCACTATGCCTGGTTTCAATGATTCTTTGCTGCTACTTAATTGATACTTCCTTTCTTAGCCAATACTAGGATTTAATAACAGTGGTTGTTTTAATACAAAATTTGTAGTTCAGAACTTGAGAATGTGTAATCCAGTAATCTGTTTTAAAAGGTTTTATAATTAATTTTTGTTTACTTAAGAGAGAGCACTAGCTGATAATTTGATCTTTAAATTCACTCTACCTACTCTTATGTAGTATTTTGAAGAAACAATCTGACAGTGAAGAATCAATAATTGAGCTGTATCAAATCTATTAGATCTGTTTGAAGGATACTGCTGTATTGTTTTTCGAGGTAGTATTCTGACTTGTGGTACGTGAGAGCACCTGTGGTAGTGATTCACAAACTGCACATTGGTGTTGGTAGGGAGCTTACGAAATTAGCGATGGCTTTTTCACCCCTCCCAGAGGTTGTGGTTTCCTTAAATTGGGATGTGGCCTGGGCTGCAGAATATTTAAAATCTTCCTTATGGTTCTAATGTATTGAGGTGCAGTATGGTAATATAGTACACCTGATTTGAACTCTGATTTGAGCAAGACTCAACCTCTCCGAAATACCTATTATTTAGGGTTATTGTGATGATGAATATTAAAAGCACCTGGCCCACTATAGGCATTTCATTCATGTAGCTGTGATTTCACCAGGAGCACCATATTATTCTGTGAGAGCCTCAGGACCATGTAGTGTATTTTTTTTTCTAATTAATTTTAAACAGGTAGGTACTGTTCTAAATGGTGTAAAACGGGTTTGACAGTGAATTAAAACAGCTGTTTCATCTCTGCTTCATTTATTTGGCATAATGCTCAGTTATGCACCACATAATCTAACTTTATTCATTCTTTACAACACTTTTCTAATTTTCTGAAATCTAAGCATTGAACTTTAATGGTAAATCATTGACTTCCATGCTTTCAAATCTTTAAAATAGAATTGCCTCTGTAGCTATACCAATTAATGCTTTTTGTGGAAAAAAAGGTAAGCACTAAAATAACAGTAGGCTGAATTTGACTTGCTACTTCTCTTCAAGTTTTTTCTCATTTTCTGGATTGGAAAAGATGAATTACGATAATGGGCTGGAGAATTGAGGCAAGGGACACAGCTCTTGCCTTTCAGTTACTCACTTCGTTTTTGTTTTGTAGTGAAAGTGGTAAAATTTATTAGGAAAGGAATACTTTTTTTTTTTCTTAACGGTACTGGCATTTGAACTCAACCTTCTACCACTTCCCACTTGAGCCTACTCCACTAGTCTGTGTGTGTGTGAACTGGGGTTTGAACTAGGGCTTTTGCTTGTGAAGCAGGCACTTTACCACTGGAGCCATGTCCATTTTGCTCTGATTATTTTAGAGATGGGGTCTTGCTAACTGTTTGCCCCAGCTGGCCTTGAACTGAGATCCTTCCCATCTCAGCCTTTCAAGTAGCTGGGATTACAAGTGTGAGCTGTGATGCACCTGACTTTGTTAGGTATTTTTGCGATAGGGTCTCAAAAATTTGCCTGGACTGGCCTCCTGGTCTGTGCCTCCTTAAATAGCTAAGATTATAGTCGTGAGCCACCAGTGCCCTGCAGTAATACACTTCAGTAGACTGAAAGTAGGTCATATTTGGAATGAGAATGACCAGTTGCCCACTTTTAATGGCCACTTGATATCTTTAAGCTCAGTAGTTCTAGGTGATGCATCTTGCGAAAGTTACAGGTGGCAGCCCTTGTGTAAAAAGTTTATTCTGTAATGTTTTATCATATAAGGAAGTTTTATCATACCTTAATGGCATTTAAATAATGGTATTGACTAGAGAGGGAAAACTAGCCATTTGATAAACTCAATGAGATTTTTCTTTAATAAGTAGGTGCAGTTGCTTTATAAGAAGTTGACTTGGTGACATGAAAGGGTATTTTATTTGGAGTTTGTATTTTTCCTTTTAAATCCTTTTTCCTTGTAAAGTGAGTCATTTGGCGGAATAGGTAAAACTGGGTTCTGAGAAATGAGTGTAGGAGACAGGTCTCATACCATCTCTTAAGATGTCTCAATTTCCTATTTTGAAGATGATTTTCTAAATTGGGCATTGGCAAGTGTGGTTTTTTTTTTTTTTTTTTTTTAGGTGGGACTGGGGTTTGAATCCAGTGCTTGGTGCTTGCAAAGCAGGTGCTCTACTGCTTGAACCACACCTATAGCCCATTTTTGCTATAGTTACTTTGGAGATGGGAGGTCTTGAACTATTTGGAGTGACCTCCAACTGAGATCTTCCAGATCTCAGCCTCCAAGTAACTAGGGTTACAGGCATGAGCCACTGGCACCCTGCTGCAAGCTTTTTGTTTAAAGGGACTGAGTGTAAGTACTTTAAACCATGTGATCTAGTTTGGAGCTACTGAGTTGTGTCATTAAATCACCAAAGCAGTATACACTAAACAAACAGATGTTTGGCAGTTAGAGGCAGTAAGTTGCTGGTGCCTGTTCCATACCTTACAGCTTAGGCCTTCAGAAAGGTACGCCATTCAGATTTCAGGGTTTTTTTAAGTTAGTTTTTTTGTTACCTTTTTAGATTTATCACGTATATACATTGGGCACCTCCCCCACCATCCCTTCACTTTCTTTTTTAAAGTATTTTCCCTGTTGTAAAACAACCATAATATCATTCCCACAGATAAAATACATTTGCATCTTGAATCACAAAGTTGAAAATTTGTCATGTAATACATACTGAGAAAATGGAAAAACTGTGAAATACAGAAGCAGTTTAGAAGGGCAGACCTTTCCTCCTGTAAAAGTGAAGTCATTCCTTTCTTGGCTTCTGTAACTCTACCACTTGTCTATGTAAAATAACTGTCTTAAAGGAATAAGAAAATAGTTTATCCTGAGTCAAATATGTGTGACCATGGCAGGGAAATGCAGATTCAAGTTACCTTAAATGACATGTTCCCAAAAGAGGTTTCGTGAATTTTTGTAGTTGCAGAACAAAAGGAAGTCATAAATGAATACCTGTCTTGATTACATTGGTGGGCGGGGCAGGGAAATCTCACTGTAGTGATTTTCAGTGTTGTTACTAGGGTTGGTGGAAGCTAGAGGTGTATAAGTTAATACTACATTCTGAGAAGTTTATTATGATGTTATCAGATACAGAGGTTGGTAGTAAATGGCTATTAAGAGGGATGCAATTTTGGCTCTCAATCTGCAACATTGCATCTCTAAAAATCACAATTTTAGCCAAAATAATCCACAAGATTTCCAGTGTAGATGTGGCATTTTTCAGAGAACTTAAGTTCGTACAGTATGCTCTACTTTTGAGTGTTTACAAAAGACAAAAATTTATCTTTTTTTTCCCAACAGAATTGTGCCAATAGCACAGACCATTTAAGGAAGAGTCTTTATTGCTTTTAGTGGAAATTAGTTTATTTTTTCTCAAAAGTGGGTAAGTTCTTAGTTCTTTGTGAAAAGTATGTCATCTTTTTGTTTTCTTGAACATTATGAGAAAAAGCATTTCTTTTTCCAGCACAGGAAGCAACCAGTAGGACAAGAGTTTTAAATAGGGGTAAAAAGGTTTGGTATTGGAAGTTGCATTTTAAGGAATCAGGTTCTAGGACTTGGGGTCATGTTTGAAGTTGGGCAGATACTGGTGACAGGTAATAGCAGAAAGCAGTAGGTGATTAACTGGTATCTGTACGCCTAAGGGAACTAGCCACAGTGAAGAGGACAGCACTGATTTTTTCTCTTTCGAGACAGGGCCTCAGGCTGGCCTTGAACTCAACAATCTCCAAGCCTCCCTCTCCCCACCCATGTGCTACCATGCCTGGCTCTAAAATTTTCCTGGGACAAAGAGTATTGGAAGGGAAAACCCAGAAATTAGATAATAGAAAACATCTTTCCTCAACAAGTGAAGCCTCTC